TATACTGGTGTGCATTAGAGCCTTTAATTACCGTTCTATATTAATGTGCTGCTTACTCACACACACACACACACACATATCAGAGATCGCGCAGCTCACACATCCAGGAGCAAAGAAACTTGTCATCGCTGCCCCACGACTTTTATTAATACCAGTTTAAATACTGAATCGCTACATTATATTTTCTTGCTTTGGTACCGAAATTGGTACCGAGAACCGTGGATTTTCACTGGTATTGGTACCGAATACTGAAATTTTGGTACCGTGACAACACTAATTGGGGTACTAGCCCTCCTCAATGTCTACGGTGTCAATGTCTATGGTGGTTATCGCCCTGATCAGACATGAAAATATGCTGTGGCACTATCGTGCAGTCTGTAATGATATGACGTTAGCAAACTTTAGCGATTTTTTTCAAACATTTCTTTGAGTAACATGACCGTAAATATAAACTCACGATTGAATGTAACATAAAACAAATGATTACTTTTTTTTTTCTCAGCCGGTTTACGCTGAGATATTTCATACCCCTTCGTTTGAAGTGTGGTCCCGAAAAATCTTCGTTTGAAGGGCTGTCTGGCCCTTCCCCTTACCCCTCCAACCAAAAGACAATCGAGACACCCCTAACGTTACCCCTTCACGTGAACGCACGAAACGGAGGGGTAGGGGAAAGGGGAAGGGCTAAGGGGTAGAATTGGGATTGGGCCTACTTTCTTCCATGAAACACAAAAGGGTAAAGGCAGAATGACAGCCTCAGTCACCATTGACTTTCACCCAATTCATCTCCTTTTGTGTTCCCAAGGATAAAGTCAGTCACACAGATTTGTAAAAACAAAACAAAAAATTAAAAATAAGTAACGATAGAATTTTAGGGGGAACTACGCCTTTAAGCAAGTGCTGGTCATTATCATATCTCCAGTATCAGTAGCCTACATTGTCTTTCCTGACAGTAGCATGGTGCTAAAATACTGTACGCTCTTTAGGGGGAACTACGCCTTTAAGCAAGTGCTGGTCATTATCATATCTACAGTATCAGTAGCCTACATTGTCTTTCCTGACAGTAGCATGGTGCTAAAATACTGTACGCTCTTCGTGATTTTTCTACTAGATTATTTCCTAACTCTATTTTCCTAAATCTAACTTTCTATTAGATTATTTCCTCTGCAAGATGCAAACTGGTCCAATCAGAATAAATCATGAACCTGATACACAAGCCAATAGTATTCATACTGAAAAATGTGTTCACTTAAAAACCTTACAAAAAAACACAGCATAACCGAACAACTCGTAGGAACCTACATTTGCGTACGCACACTATCATCACTAAATTGAACTGAGAATTTTAGCATCTTCAAACTAGCTGTATATCAACAAAGAGGTTAAAGACACGCAGTGGCGCGCTTGTGCTGGCACATTACATCAGCAGCGGTGCTAACGTTAGCTGACTTAACTTACAGCTGCTAAATACAGTGCTTTAGGCAAGCCGGTGCAGGATTCATGGCCGTACTGTCTACATGCGTCTCAAACAAGCTGTAGTCGTTTTGTAATATTAGGTAAATCCTACATAACCCAGAAAACACACAGCAATATGCTGCTAACGTTAGCCTGGTTAGCAATGAACAGAAGCTAACGAGCTTTCATGCAGGCCTCGTGTATACACGACTTGAGATATATTGAAACGGTAAAAAGTTTATTTTGACTAAATTCACCCAGTGTTAACTATAACCATAGATATGTTAAATATATGTCTATATTGAAGTAAACGTGTTAGGTAATCATTACCGCAGTGTTCCGCGTTACCGCCATGTAGTGATCCACATTGAGGACTCTGCAACACCACAGAAACAGCAGAACCTGGAGCGGCGCGCGGCTTCCGCTGCACGACTCTGGTCCCGTGATCTAGAACAGCAGGTAGCACTGGTGTCGGGGTCGCTGGATCGTGCCGAATACTAGGAATATATTGTTTAGGCTTATCGCCTTTGAAAAACGTTTTTACTTTTGAAATATTTGCGTATTTATTTGTTTGTTTATGTGGAAAATGTGATTCTCGTACAAGAAAGACTGGTATTTGAGCCATGACACGCCCCCTGCAGGCTTTATATCTCAAACCAGCAGCCCTCACTTCAGCTGCCTTTCCAGTTTTGTAAAAATCACAGAGAATTTCAAAGAAACATCTTCTTCTCTGGTGCAATAGCAATCGTTTTCTTATTTAAGCATACTGCCTCCACCAGTCTGAGCTCAACATGAGAATGAATTTAGAGACATATTGCACTGTCAAAGGTGCTCTGGTCACCCTTCTAGTTTTAAGAGACGTTTTTCTGGATTACTGTAAGATAAAATATTTGGTACAGTTTTTATAATGTACGTTTAGTTACATTCAGCTAACACTGACACATAGGTATGTACACACAGCTATTAAAGTAAATATAAGCAAGAACAGAGACAGGAGCTAGAGGCTTTGCATTGTTATATGTACTGTAGATGTTGAGATCCAGAATCAGATGGCGTATAAAACACTGTCGTGGTGCATTATCGAATTGATAGACAATATCAGTATTTGATTCTTTGTTTAAAACATTTATTTCTTTAAAAATATCGTAAAAGCATAGTTTTTAGGTGAAATCCTGGCAGAAATGCCCTTTATCTTAGTCGTCTCGTTACCTTAACTGTATAGGTCAACGGTAAACCAGCAGGTTTACGAGAACCCGCAGAAACAATACTCGTAATGCGGAAGTAGGAAGTAAATGTACAAAACAATTACACCTTTAGGACTACGATGACAACTGGACCTTTGTGTACTTCGTGTCCGTTCACTTTTGGTTTTAATGCCATAAATTATTATTGACGTGGGGCGACTAAAACGCTTAAAGTGGTAACTGTACTTTCTGGGCACTAACAGTTTCACCTGTAATAAGTCCTGAATTTGTGCTTTAAGCCAACAAATGCATTGTTCTTAAAATGTAAGGCTACTGTAAGAGACCGGTGCATTTTCGAGACTTTGCGGTCCGTAGGAGAATACGCACCTGCTTCAGACACAGTTTAATGTGATTTACTACTTGACGGACCGACACTAATACCTGGCATGGATATCCTCCTGGCTGCGATTGAGATACTGACGGACCCATCTGGACATCAAGAGCACTGTGAGCAATTCAGCCTGTCCCGATTATTATGAAATCACATGATCATTTGATTATACGTGTAAATGCAATATGTTTGTATCATAATCTAATTATTATATTGTATAGTGATTAAGACGAATGAAGAGAAGCCTGATCCAAGCCCACCATCTTGTGATCACCCCAGTGTTTTCGGCATTTGTGTGGATTTAAAAAAAGATGATGGTGTTAAGGATGAGGAAGCCTCTGACATGTGTCCAGCCAACCAAGATTCAACCAAACAAGGTAAAATTGCAAACTAATAAATCTGTGCTCACATAGAGACCACGTTGGTGAATGAATTCACATTTAGTTTGGCTAGCCACGATAAATGTGCAGTGGATCAACTTGGATGTGGACTTCAGAGATTATACATTATAATACATAATTATATATTACTGACCCGGTGGGCTAACTATTCTGTTAGTATTAGCCATATTATCATGTGAAAGATTAGTTTGAACAAAAATGACATAAAGTTTGATTGGACACACAGTCTTTGATGTCAGCAAGAAAAAGATGCTGTCTGTGACCATATCAGACCTGCAGACATTTTAGAACAACTGATCTAAGGTTGTTAATCAGTTGCTAATTTATGTCAGTGATAAATGGTTAATGCATCCTTGTTAAATAAAAGTAACAATTTCATTAAAAAAAAAATGTACTAACCCCAAACTTATGTATTTTAAAAGGGAGTGGACTGCCTTATTTTAAGCGATTTGTTGTCAAGTCCAATTCTATTTTAAAATCAATTGTAAAATGTTGTATTGTTCAGATTACACTCACTGCGTGCTATATGTCCAATGTCTTTCTTTTTTTCTTTTCAGAAACTGGTAAACGGAAAAGGAGTTGCTCAAGAAAAAGCACAAATACAGGAGTCCGCTCTAACAAATCAAATCACCATTGCTTTAAATGCGGACAAAGCTTCAAAACGTCAGTTCACTTTAAAAGACATAAACTAGTTCATTCAGGAGAGAGGCCTCATGGTTGTCCTGAATGCGGCAAGAGGTTCATTACGTCCTCTGAACTAAAAGTACACCTGCGTGTTCACTCAGGAGAAAAACCCTACCACTGCTCTGAATGTGGAAAGAGCTTTGCTCGGTCAGGGTCATTTTCTAATCACCGCAGGCTTCATAGAAATGAAAAACGCCATCACTGCCCTGAGTGTAACAAGGGTTTCCAGCAACGTATAGATCTACGAATTCACCAAAGGATTCATACGGGGGAGAAGCCATACCTGTGCTCACAATGCTTGAAGGCGTTTACTACATCCGGAGCGTTACGAGTTCATCTACGAACCCACACTGGTGAAAAACCTTACGAGTGCAAAGACTGCGGGAAGATGTTCTGCCAGCTAGGCGGACTTAAAGTTCACAGACGTGTTCATTCAGGAGAGAGGCCTTACGTGTGCTCGGTGTGCGAGAAGCACTTCAAGGGACATGCCAATTTGATCACACACAAGCGCATTCACACAGGAGAAAAGCCTTATCGATGCACCGTATGCAACAAGACGTTCACCGACAGAAGGAGACTAAAAGAGCACCAGCCACCTCAGTCAGTAGAGAAACCGTTTCGCTGCGGCTTGTGTAGTGAAGCTTTCGGCGCTTTCTGTCAACTTAAAGAACACCAGCAGTGTCACAAAGGAGAGAAGCACCATCGCTGTACTGAGTGCGGAAAGGCCTTCACGCATTTATATTTACTGAGGAGTCACCAGCACGCACACTCGGATGAGAGGCCATATTCCTGCACTGAATGTGGAAAGTGCTTCCGCCGGTCATTTGACCTGAAAATGCACCTGAACACTCACAGTGAAGCACGACCTCATCTTTGCTCTGAGTGTGGAAAGAGCTTCCGCAGGGCTGCAGAGCTTAGGATACATCTGAGAGTACATACGGGAGAAAAGCCTTATCCCTGCTCCGTCTGCGGCATGGGTTTCAAACAGACATCACAACTCAAAGTGCATGAGCGCACTCACACAGGAGAAAGGCCATTCCCCTGCCCGGATTGTGGGAAGACCTTCAAAGACAAGAGAAGCCTGCTAACACACCAGAGAGTGCACCATAAATAAATAAATTATTCTGTTATTATAATATATATTTGGAATATACAGTATATTATTGAGTGTTGAAATCACTTTGGTCACAGCAAGGAAATTTTAACATGCTGATCACATTACAGTATGCTCTACGCTACTCTGTAGGTTGTAAGACTCTATTGGGTAAATGCAAATTACTGAAGATTTTATTCTTGCTTGTGTCTTAAACTGTCCACTCAAAGATGTTTTTGGGAGTATGTTCAGGAATATCATATATCTTATTCATTATTTATACATCTAGGGGTATTCAGCAAGAAATGAGCTGTCTGACCTTTCTTTGAAGAGAAATTGCTTATGGATTTTCAGGGTTTTTATGCAGGTGGGTCTAATTTGTACCGTTCATGAAAACAGTGAAGTATTTGAATTTAATATAAATGAATGATTTCTATTTATCTGATATATGATTTATTATATATATTAAATCATGCTGAAATTAAACTAAAGACTTTATTTTACATTTTCATACAATGTAAAGACTTGTTTTTTATTTTTACATGTATTATAGAACAGTTTTTTTTGTCTTAATCACATATCTTTACATAAATAAATTCCCTCTCTTTTATAAAAGTGAAAGATACTTTTTTACCGAACAGGCCTACAAGGAAGGACAGGTATTTAAAACATGACAGGCTTAGGCTTCAAAATTCAAGGGGAAAACAAAAACGTTATGACAAATAGAGCAGCGTCATGTATAACACTGATATTAGTATTTATCTCATGTGTACATAAGCATATTTTTCAAAAATATTAGTAAGAAAAACAGCAGATTGACATTACATAGATACATGTTCGCTTTTTCTATTTCACGTTTATAAATACAATCTGTAAGAAAATAAAAACAGAATCCTTTTTAATTGATGTGTGCCATCAAAAGATTTTGCTGACCTTAATGTATTCATTCATGATATTTCATTGGGTAAGCATAAACAACCACATAAAACTAATCAACAGCTATTCACATGTTTCAGTGCCACAGAAGAACCATTTTGGGTTCCTCAAAGAAGTGAACCATTCTTAAGCAGTGAACGGTTCTTAAAAGAACCATTTTTTTTAGTGTGAAGAACATTTTAATAATCTAAAGAACCTTTTCCGTTATAAAGAACGTTTTGAGCAATAAAGTTCTATGTATGTTTAAAGTTCTTCATGGAACTAGATAACAATAAAGAACCTTTATTTTCAAGAGTGTGTGACAAAATAGTACTGAAAATAATGTGCTTGCCTATGCCATTAGTTTAGAGACGGGGATCCTGTAGATGAGCTGTTTTACAGTTCAAGGTCAACCAAAAGAGGGCAGTATGTACATTTGAATGCACTGGCCATCACTCGCCTAAAGGTTTTAGAATTATGTTACTTAATACCTAAAGGTCAAATCTACCTCTAAGCACAGTGTTACATGTAAGTGAATATTAATAGCGGTTTTTACCTCTTTTGTAATAAAAAAGTGTAGAATATCAAATGAAACTAAATGTCTGTTTTTAAATGTTGATGAACAAGAAAATTCCCCCCAAAAAGCGATTTGTCTGAAAACACAACTTTTGCAGGTCTGCACCACCAGACCTAAAATGAACAAACGTTAACACATCAAATAAACATGCAACCATACATAAAACACATACAGTGTTTATTAGAGTTTCATCAAAGACACTGACTAGTAAAAGCCTGACGTGCATACACACATTTTTTTTTTACTGTAGACATCCATAACATGGGGGTGTTAACCTTGATCTGAAAATGGGAAAATATGGCAGGGATGTCATAAAGTAGAGAATAAATCTGTAGAAATGATATAGAGCATAGCTGCTGCACTGAAAGCACCCAAGTGAAGAGTGAATGTCTTGTTGAACAGTATGTGACATACTTCTTTTTATAGGCGATAAAATGAGAGCCTGTCATAGTACTCACACAAAGCTTGCGATTGTCACATATTGCAGACAATGTCTTCTGCTTAATATGTTAATGTCTTTAAATAACGTCAGTCAGGAGACAAAAACACTCAAATGGCAAATGTATATTTATAATTGAATTGTATATTAATAACTGAAAAGGGAATTTCATTTTTTCAGGTTTCGACCTTGCGTAAAAATAAAAATAACTGGTTTAATGCCGAAAGATGTTTCTAATTGAGATTTTATTGAGAGTAGTTTTGATTTCACTGCTGCTAAAGCACTTAAATCTGAGAGTCTATTACTTTCATGCAAGTAAATGAGAATGTGACAATTAGTCTTAGTGCTTGTACACTTGCCAATTTATGCCAATATGCATTAACGTTTGCCATTTTATCCAAATGCAGTTCAACACATTAGCCCACTTAACATAAATCAGTGGTTTATGAAACATCAGTAAATCTGTTTGGGAATCCTCTGTAGGACATTAATGAAACACAGAGGACTTTCCTTTTACAAGTAGAACAAACAACTGCAATGCATTTTATTACTGTGTCCTGGTTGTCCATCATGTTCTACTCCTGACTAGGAAAAGATTCTGCATAATTTGATTGGTTGTTTTTGTAATAATTAATTTCCCTTTTGCACCGCAAATCTCTTCAAAACACCAGAACAGCAATTATACTCAGCTCCTCAAAAACAACAGTAAATGTTCACACAATTGAATTGCTGATTTCCATGTCTTGCACAAAGGCTTAAAAGGTTAATCTGTGTTTCTTCAATCAGTCAGTCAAATCAGACAATCATCTACTATATGTGCCATAATTTATATAGTTTTGGACATGAACTAAATTCCTTTTTGGTACATGATAGCTGTCAATAGTGGCTGCTGTCAGTGACACAACTGGGTGCCATTTACGCAATGATTTTCCTAAAAAAGAGCAACAAATAAGATTTTGTACAATGGATTGAACTATTCTTATCAACTATAAACAACTGTTTGTTTACAGAGTATAGAAATCAAAACCATTCAGGTCCTATGCTGCCTTATATGCTCCGCTAAGAATAGCACAGGTAAATTTAATGGAGAAATCCCATTATACTTATATCCTCAAGGAATACAGAAACCTAGCAGATAAAACCATTTCCCAAAAGTGTCTGTAATTGTTTCTTAATCTCACAGGATTTTAGCTCTTACAGAACTATTCAAATTAAAGGTGTTCCCTTAATTATATCAATAATTATATCATGAATATTAAACAGAAAAAAATATACATGCCTGTACCAGACACTCTGTGGACATTACTAAATTGGCACTATAATTGATTTGAGTCCTGAAGAGCTATACAAAGAAAGATAATGATCAGTTATTTCCATTTTTAATGACATTGTAATGACTATTGGGTAGCCGTAGTTAAAAAGGTGGCTTAATTAGATATTATAATAAACCAAGAAGACAAAAGTTAATTGGACTAACTGGGCGGGGCATAACATTAGCCTTCGGCTCAAACACAACATATTTCTTTATTTAGAAAACCAGAGAGAAAATCAGTAGATAGCTGCCATATTTGCAGTCCACCACAGCTAGTATGACATAAGATGCACCTGATCCTGTGCTGTATTGTGCCATTTCACTCCAACAGTCACAGGGAACGAGCATGTGTCACTGAGAAGATGGGGAGAGAGTAATAAGAGTGAAAAAACTCTTAATGACTACATACTGTATGTTGATTGCTTTTTGGATTAAAGTAAATCGAAATGAAAAAATGTATCTCAACTCACATTTAGTAACAATGTGTACTTAGTCTGAAAAAGCTGCTACTAACAGCAATATATTAATTAAAGGGTTAGTTCACCCAAAAAGGAAAATTAGCCCATAAATAGGTGGCACAAAAAGAACACAAAAGTGGCTTGTAGGTACATTTTCAGACATTCAATGAGGTGGCATGAGTGCAATTATTTTGAGTTCAGCGTTGCGCTGAGTGCAACAATTTTGAGTTCAGCGTTGCGAATGCGCCGGTGCGTCTCGTGAAAACCAACGTTTGTTTACAGGATCAAAAGAAGCAAAGTTTCCTTACTTTAGCAAAGGAAAACAAGTCTCCTCTTGGCTTATATCGAAATCCTCCGACATTCTTCTTTACAAATCCTCGTTTTGTACTTCTAATTAGTGACCGTTGTTTTGTTTTGATCTCTCCGCGTGCGTCACTTCTGAGCGGCACATGCACAAAGCTGACCTCATACGTCATTCCCCAGAACTGCTTCCGTGTACAACAGTGAGCGCAAGCTAGATTCAAGTGATTATTACGTTTTGAATATGGATATTTTTCTTACAAAAACGCATCGATTCGCTACAGGAGGCCTTTGTTCACCCCCCAGAGCCGTGTGAGACACTTTTTTTTGTGGAAGGGTGCTTTTTATTTCATGTCTTTTGAACCGAAGGAATGCAACACCCGCTGAGTACAACGATAGAGCTTGAAAGATCAAAGACAATTTTTAATATAACTCCGACTGGATTCGTCTGAAAGAAGAAAGTCATATACACCTAGGATGCATCGGGGGTGAGTGAAACGCAGCCTAATTTTCATTTTTGACTGAACTAACCCTTTAAGTTTGGGAAATGCAGCGCATAGGTTGGATTAGGAATGCTTCACTGAACTCTAGATTCATCATTATGCTAATCAGCATGAGACTATTTTTATTTATAGGTATCTGATTCCATCAATCCACTGTCAGAGAATACATAGGGCAGTAAATAAAAAAAGTGAAAAAAAGAGAAACATCTTACAAGATACAGAGATGACATTACATTCCCCTATGCATTGCTAAACTGTAATCCATGCATATAGTCCCCCATGCATTGCTAAACTGTAAAGCTGTGGCTGAAACATTGCTAAATAGTCCTGTGAATCACATGAATGGTCTCTGAATGTACTCGGAAATCTAATAATGTTCTGCTGTGCTCACACATTGCCTGATGTATATAGTGCTGAATACTATCATCCATTTCTCCATGAAGGAGAGGAGGAGCAATCACACCTGACAGACACTAAATTGCTTGACTGAATGACATGCTGTAAAAATGGACTCTACGAAAAGTGTTCAATCTTGGTTGGAGTGGAGGATGGTGAGCTTAGAGGAGGTCAAACTAAATAATAAAAATGCCCAAATACACGATTCAGTCAAAACCTAAACATCAGATCTGGTCCAGTAAATGTCATGGTTTTTCTGAGGAACATTAAAATCGAGCGTAGCGTTAGTTCTGGCTGGTCACGTTAGTCAAGCTCACATCAGCTGACTCTCAGCTGATCCCCATCTACCTACGCCAATCCAAACTGTATGCTAATTGTCAATCATCTTTGATGATAGTGGTCCTGACAGAAAGAATATTCAGATTCTGACCAACACATGAGAAGTGCAAACAG